TCAAAAAATAAGATAGCTTAAAAAATAATATACGGTAGTGTTTACTAATAGATGAATAGTATATAAATTCTATTAAAATGGATTTGATCCAAAAAAATATATAAAATTTGATCATAAATAAAATCGTTTTAAATTACTTCTTCATTTAAATTATAACAATTATTTTTGGTTTTATATTTTTTTGGATCAAATCCATTTTAATAGAATTTATATACTATTCATCTATTAGTAAACACTACCGTATATTATTTTTTAAGCTATCTTATTTTTTGAACTTTTATTCAAATCTTTGGTCGCAAGAAGAATTGCATGATAAATAAAAACATTTAATCAAAGTCAATTTTATTTTTCATATTCAAATGGACTGAGTGTTAACATTTAACATTTTTTGCTAATTGTCGTCAAAAATTAGGCGTAAAGCAAAAATTGATATTTCATATGGTTTTATGATAGATAAGCATTATATTCCCACTCATTATATTCGTAAATTTTGAGGTTTATCCTTCGCTTTTAAGATCATTGAATTTGATTTTTATATAAAATAGTTATATATTAGAAAATAATATGAGTTTATGTGATATTATTTTTCAGAAGATTTTGTGTTCTTCTTCAAAATTTTATTTTTTTATTAAAAAGAATCTTTACAAAATATACATTTACTTTAATTAATATTTAAAAACGTGCTCTATCAAAAGTTCCAAAAATTCAATAGTTTAGCTTTTCTGAGGTGTCACTTTTGATGAATTTCTGTTTACAACAGAATATCTTAAATGTGTTGTGAATTATTCTTAAAAAAATTTAAAAAGCTTCTAAATATCATATATTTAAACAACAATAGTAAGGAATATTAAATGCATCATAATGTTAAGGAAAATCACTTAATAAATATTATGAAAAATTTGAAAAATGAGAGGAAAGCATATAATATATCATAAATGTATTCTATTTCTCACAATGTGTCCACTCAAAACTTTCCCGCCAAAAAGCGCAAAAGTGTCATTTCTATATGGAAGATCATAGCTGGAGTCACGCTCATCCATCCTCTTACTGGGATGATGTGCAGCCTTTGTTCTGACCAATCATAGTTCTGCTTCATTCATACCAGCAAGTGGTTCTGGCATCAGACCTCAGCTTGGTCTCCCATAAGAGCTCTGCAAACCAGAAGCACAATAAAGTTAGTATACATATCATGCGTACGGAGGCACTGCGCGCCTCCTTACCCATTATATGTGAATTTGACACTTTACGAAACCGTTAACGTATATTTTACAACACAAACGACAACACTAACTTAACCTTAAATATTTACAAAGCCACCAACCACTTCACCTCACTAACATTTTCACAAACGACTTCACTACTGTAAAAAATAAACGTTCTCACTTACAAAAGTATTGCAACTCCTCCCATTGCTGTGCTTCACACAATACTTCATATTCTTCAGTATCGCTGCTGTCGCTCCAATTGTCAGAGTCAAAGTCACTGTCAAAATAAATGTTAGTAAGTTTTGACAAAGCTAATGAAACACGTTTACCGTTTGTATCGTATGCTTGTATAAACTTTCCATTCTTCATTCCTTCATAAACGCTCAAACTAACTTTACCCTTTCTCCCTCGTATCTGATAGAATGTATTTTCACGAGGAACGAAGAACAAATTCTTGAACTCATGACCGTTGTAGTTTGTTATCTCAATAGTTTTCGTCATTTATATAAAAATAAAATAAAAAAAATAAAAAATGAACTTAAAAATTAATGATATCACCACCCTCACACGTATGAAAACATAGCACAAAAATAAATTTAGGTGAAGTGGTGAGATCTCACCTCTTTTTTCACCCGGTTTTTCACCCTGTTGAATTCATTGCTTTATAACTCTCTTCCTTTCTCCAACTCTTCTAACTTCTTCTTAAGTTCAGCAATGTTGTCCTCATGAAGTTTAATCTTCCTTAATATACCTTCTCTATCTAATGGTTGCTTTATCTTTCTAAACTGAACTCTACCATCCTTCATAGTATGAATGTAAAAACCTTCTGGAATAGTTCCTGATTTAATGTATTCTACCAAAAACTTTTGTTTCATTGCTTCAGTGACTTTATTTGTCATTTCAATCAAATAAAAATTTTAATATTAAATAAAAATAACGTTATTTTTTCAGTAAGGAAACGCAGGAGTTTTACGATTTATTTGAGGAGTAGGTTCTGGTTTAAATGTTGGAGTCGGTTTAGGAGTTGACTTTTGAACAGGAGTTTGTACTTCCATAGGTTCAGGAGTCATTGAAGGTTTCGCTTGTGAAGGCGTTGGTTTTGCTTGTGAAGGCGTTGGAGTTTGTTTAACTTCAGCTACTTCAGTATTATTTACAACATTTGCTTTATTTCTTTTCAACATCATAACTGCTCCTGCTGTAGCTAGCAAACCTAGTGGGAGACCATATCTTATATAAGGACTTGACCAAATGCTATTTTTGACAGGAGCTGGTGGAACACCTAACCTTGGTGAGACTGCTCTTTGCCATTGTGCAGCTCGTAAGAAATATTCAATAGGTGCTCCATAATCGTTTGGTAAAGTTTGTTTTCATAGATGGTGAAGGTTCACGAGAGCTTGATGAAGAACTCATTTATAAGCTTTAAAAATAAACGTTCATCCTTTATTCCTCACCGTCGTCCGTAGCTAAGTTATAGTCATCTAATCTTATTATTGGGATTCCATTAGCACGCACCTGAATGGCAAAGCAACAATCCCTCATAAATCCAATAAGTGGCTTTGGTACATTTTCAGTTGCTAGTTCAATAGGTCCTTTAACAGACAATTTGTATGTTATTGGAGCAGTAGATGTTTGACCTTGCTGGAAGCAAAAGTCCACTTCTGTTGGAAAACCACATAAGAAATGTGTGTTGTCATAGCTATCCCATTTATGTTCCACACTACCATCATCCACCAATGACCTCATAACATCTTCATTAAATCCTATCATATCATTGTTTGTATTGCAAGCGTTCGCAACCATTTCATAAAATACAGGTCCATATGATTTTTCAGGTTCTGCAGGCATATTTCCATAAGCTCCCATGGAAAGCTGAAGATATTTAAACTTAGGGTTCTCAAATTAACATAATAGTTGTCTTTCTTTCTAAATAGTGCCCAAATACTTTTAACATTAATAGGCGTATAAGCTGCTGTAAATGTTGCACTTGAACTATCTGTATTCTTTGAGAATGAACCGTCCATAGGAATCCAATCCATAACTTTAACAGGAAAACATAAAGCCTCGTTTGTATAATGTTCTACAAGTTCTGTATAAATGTTAGGGTCTAAAGAGAATGACTTTGGATGAATGAAACATTCATTAAAATCCATCTTTGTTCGAAATAGTTGCTGGTTACAGTTGTAATAGTAACTGTTCCACTAGCTTCTACTGCCTTCGTTATCATAGTGAATGGTTCATTCCATGGAACAAATTTATTTGTCGGTGGATTTGAATCTGAAGCAAATGCAACTTTAAGAGTTGGATTGAAAGCAATGATATCATTTACAGATATAGATGTGCATTGTAAGGCGTCGCTACTGAACTTTACTTTAAGCTGAATGTTTCCTGCAAAAGCTGGAATAAATCGAATAGCTTCTAATGGAAGGAATCTTCTAACAGGAATTCTTAAACGAAGCTTAAAATCAAATGATTTCCTGCTGTAATTGGACCACTAACAATTTGTCCTGTTCTGTATGTTCCCGAATGACTCCATACATCTTCATGTCGAGTCTTTGAGAAAACATCTACTTTCTTTATTTGTTCGGTAGTTTGTGAGTTTGAAGTTATATATGCTTCTTCTCTTGCGTTGTCTTGAGAATATACGATACGACCATTTGCAAGGATTTGATATCCAGCAACTGCATAGAAAGCGTCATCGAAACCAATCCAAAATCCTGGTGGGTTTGTTTTATTGGAACCTGAACCAATTTCTTTATCTACAATAAATTGACCTTCCATTTTATACGTAATGAATGTATTGTAAAGGTCCAACATATTTTCACCAGGAGGTGAGAGATTGAATGTTACCCATGTGTTATCTTTAGCAGTTCCAGGTTGTGATGGAATCTTTGCGTCAGAATATTTTCTATTAGTGTCACCAATTTGAACTGCATTGTCTATGATATCGAAATATGAGCGAATCTGATGAATATGCTCTGCTGGAGTAAATTCGTTTAGCTGTTCGTTCTGCATGTATTTACTTCAGATAAAATATCTATTTACTTCATTATTCTCACTCTTCTTCTTGGCATTCGTGTGGAAGTTGTTTCTTGACATTTTTAATGAACTGTACATTCTCTTTTGTCTCAACTTCTTTCACTGGCGGGTCAGGATTCTTTGACTCGGTTTGTTTTTCAATGAAATTCACGAACTTTGCAATAAGCTCTTGGTTCGTTATTGAAAGTACATCTGGCTTCTTTTCTTCTGGTTCTATTGACTTTTCAGTTTGAATAGAAGGCTTAACATGGGCTTCGCCCTCGGTGCCATGCACCTTAATACTGTCGCTTTCTGCATTCGCTAATGGAACCTTTCTTTTTCTTACGTATATTTTACCATCTTTACTCTGACTTACGTAATAGAAAGGATGTTGTATTCCTCTTGCGTCATTTAATATAATAGACTCTCGCTCTGATTTTGACAAGCTCATTTTACATCGGTTAAAGTTTTAATTTTGTTTTTTATCTGCAGTCAAATGACTCAGACAAGCCCTACGGACAAGACCCAAGGGGTCATAGATGTTGAAGCATTGAAGAAAGAAATTCGTGAGCAAATTTTATCCGAACTGAAGGAACAAAAACAAGAACAAAAGCCAGAGAGACCAAAAGAAAACTTAGTGAAAAACAACTTGCTGCATTAGCTGCTGAAGACAAAAGAACCCAAGACTACTGGCGAAAAAAGCTAGAAGAAGAAGCTGAAGCAAAAGCTAAAGAAGCTGAAGCAAAGAAAGAGTAAATGGTTTATTTTTATCCGAATTAAATGTATAGACAAATACCTTTATCTGTTGCGTTCAGTAGTGAAAACCCTGACGTCAAAATAAAGGGGAACAGAGTAACGTTTAAGTTTCCAACAGACTGGATTGTGAACATAAATGAAGAGAAGTACATTGGCATAACATCTATGTATATAACATGTGCTTTCAGAAAGGTTGACTTTATACTTCAAGTCGAGATAGAAAATGACGAACAGTCTTTAAGCGCCCAAAACATTCACATATACAAATACTTTAAAGACGATACAACATTGCTACAATGTATGATTTCATTTAATGAGATGTTCGAGAAAAAGTTTAACATTGAAGTACAAACTTTACAGCCTTTACGTGAGTTTCTTGCACAACTGAAAGAAGAAGGTAGTCAGCCACAACTTATAGACTTTCATTATGAATTTAATGAAAATGAAGATGGAACTCATGACTGTCAGTTTATTATATATTCACCATTCAATGAAGTAGCTAAAAAGAAAGAAAATCCATTACGTATAAGATTTCAAATCTCTGAACCAAGTGATGATTTCAAGAATGTTTTCAATTATGATGCAATGCTTCCGAGGAAAAATGAATTTTCAAAGATTGTAAACACCTGGCATTTGGGATAGAAAGCAAAGCTATATTATATTCAAACTTAAGTAAGGGAGTTGAAAATGAGTTCATTGGTCATACAAGAACTTCATCACTTCCTAACCCTAAATACTATAAATTAACTGGCTTTCAATCGTGAGTTTTGGATAGACATGTTCTCCACTCATGACCATAACTGCCCAGTGTTCTTACCTCCAGACCATAAGGACTGTCTCTATATTGAAGCACAACTCTTAAACTCTACCATCGCAGTATTGTAAATGACCACATGGGCTTCGCCCTTGCCGCTAGCGCTTATTTTTATCATGAATGGTCTCACTGCTGACAAAAATAAATGACCTCATTATATTTTCTCATTCATGACCTCAGAACTTAAGCTTTCTTATGAATGAAGTCTTAGTCTGAATAGAAAAGTTAAACTTCTCTTCAAATGCAGGTTGTAGCAGACTTACTAAGTCGAATGCAATCTCTTGACCGTCATAAAGTGCTTTATATAACTTCATAACACTGAACTCAGAGTCTTTGTTAAATTTTTCCTTGCGGAACCATTAAACCTTTATCTTCATCATAGAAACACTGAACAGAGTCAGGAAACATTTCATTAGCGGTTAAAGCAATAACATCTTGCTTCACACCTTTCATTCTGCAGTGAAATGCAACTTCATTTAAATCATTCGTGAGTAAGTCTATGTAAGTCTTCTTTCCACAAAATATTGACTTGTATGCTAAACTTTGTTTATCTTTTGTGATTTCTGCAAAGTCGCTATGAAATTGACCAAGGTTTTTACCCATGAGAACTCTTCCATAACGTTTCTCAAACTCTTCAGCTAAAGGAGGGATATCTTCATTGTAGAGATGCATACTGTCCGTATCGCTATAAAAGATGTCCATTCCTAAGTCCTCAGCAGTACAGAATACTTCACACATTATTCTCTTCGACATAGACAGAATGTTAACACCAAGTGGACAGAAGTTAAAGTGTCTGCAAATGCTTTCGTTAGCTTGAAAATAGTTTTATCTGAACCATCCAAACCTTCGAACTTCACTATATGGTTGTAGTTTCTGATGGCATATCTTATAGCATCTTTGTCATTTACTATGGTTATTTTTGACTCAATAGGAGATAGAATAGTTTTGCCATAAATACTGTTCAGAATGAGCTTTATATTTTCTTGCAAAGGATTTCCTTCTTTCTTATACTTTAACCTAACTCAAACAACTTCTTTACTTCATCTCTTATTCTAATATCTCTGTTTCCATCGTAATAGTATCCTTGCAACACTTCACATTTGACACCTTGATATTTTATGAGGTCTTGTAATGTTTATATGGTCAACATACATTAAACAGCAAGTGTTTGAACTTCTGGGAACGTTAAGTTCTGGATTTAGTTCAGGGTCACAAACTATTAAAGGAAAGTGTCTATGTATTCCAATCTCTGTTATTTTAATGAGAACAAAGAAGCCAGACATAAACTTTTCACCAATGGGTTCCTTTTGGTCGTCATCGAATAAATGTCTCATGAGATACTCTGTGCTTAACATTTCTTTCTTCATAACCTTTGGAATACCTTCTAAAGTATAAAGTCTTGCTATAGCTGATGGATATAATGAAACAGCGTCGAAATCGGCAATGAATTTCTTTTCGCTCTTTTGTTTCATGTTATCTGACAGCATACATCTTCCACCTTGAATACAGCGTGAAATAAACTCTCTTGGTTTATTTGAGAGGTCATATAAATTTCCATTCGGGAAGTACACTCTGTTCTCAAATAATTTGTTAGCAATTGAACAAATGCTAACGTAATCATAAACGTTTAAATCAAACTCTTTCAATATATCATTTCTGAACTTAACAAAACCTTCTCTTAAAATTCTTACATCTTGTTTGCAATAGAATGTACTATACTTTTCTAAATCGAAGTGGTTCTCATCTATTCTGCAGTTTTCGATTAAATCTATGTTTTTCATGAATGTATCCGCATCCTGGATAAACTTACACGCTTCAGAAATGACACCAGTTCTGTTGTCATTTGCTAACAAAACACTGCTGTAGTAGTTGTATGGAAATACTTCTTTCGGTCCTGTTTGTAAGTTAAACATAGCAGGAAATAGTTTAAGCTTCTTATTTATAACACTGTAAGAGTCTTTTATAATAATTGCCCTTCCTTTATATAAGCCAGTTATTTGCATTGTTCGTGAACCTTTAATGATGGGAGTTCCTTTCACTTCTGTCATGTGTCTTAAGATGAAGTTTATGTCATAACTGAGGTTATGGAAATATATTAAACTCTTGTCAGGAAGTCGCTCCAAAAATTCCGTTGCACAGTTCTGACCCCAAATGCTTTCACTCACTGAACCATCTTCACTGTCATAACAGATGTTAAAAGCTTTATGAAAGCCATCAGTACTGCACTCAAAGTCAGCAAAGAAAACGTGCTCAGGAATGAACTTGCACTTATTTTTATTTACTTCTTTTGACTCGGCTTTCTTCTTCAGTTGTACACAATACTTTGGAGCATATGTCAAATCATTAAATGGTGCAAGGTTCTGTTTATATAAGTCAGTCGTATATGTGAAAAGTTCTCCATAAGAAATAGGTTCGAAATATTTGCACTCCCACAATGTTTTCATAACATCCCATAACGGTGTTGTTCTATCATAACGAACTACATATTTGTTCTCTCTCTTTGTATAAATCTTCATCTGTTTCTCAATGTTCATTCCACCACACTCCTTCAAGATTTCTATATAGTTGCGAATGAAATATGTTGTCATTGGTAATCTTACATTTAGCATGTAGTGGTCTTCAACAAGAAGTAAGTCAATAGTTCGAACAGTTTCACATTCTTTTGGTATGTATCTCTTTATTTCATTATGTCTTGAGTCATTGAAGTAACCAATGGTAACATTAAATGCTATACCTGTTGCGTCAGAAATTTCTTGTACTTTACTTTGAGGAAAGTCTCTAACACGAATGACTTCTCTCATGTGGTCAATAGTTTCTTCATTTACTCCAGCCTGAATGCAAGCATAAACGAAGCAGTTATCTTCTGTCATAAGTGTTGCAGTTCTTTTGTTCAGTTCATTGAAGATTTGGTAGCGTTCAAGATTTATAGGTAATGTGCAAAGATACTTCCAGAACTGACCGCTTCTCTTCTTATAAAACTTCTTTTCACCATTATCTTTCCAAAAGCTTTCTATAAGTGCTGGGTTTCCTGTTTGCTTAAGAGCTTCCAAAATGGCTTTCTGGTCATTTGTCAGTGTGCTTTCATCTCTATATGGTCTCTTTTTTGGTTTGCCTTTCTTTACATCTGACATCGTTAAGCCTTCATATTCTGTTAAATCATACATCTTTATTTCAGTAAGATTCTTTATGTTTGTCAAGAAGAAGTCATAGTGCATTTCAACAATACCTGCAGCATTTGCTTCTATCTCTGATATAAAGTTCTCCTTCAAGAGCTGATATAGTAATGTTCCAATATTATTGAGGTTTAACGTAGAACATTCATACTTTCCACCAAGTTTATAACATATCATCCATCTTTGTTGGGAGTTTATTTTAATCTTCTCTAAGAGTCTCTGAAAAACCTTACCGAAATGTTTGTGTAAGTAGTCTCTGTTTGGTTCATCTAAAGCTTCGATGTTAAAGTCAATGAGTCTATTGCCTGTCTTAACATTCCTCTTCCTATTCTCTTCATCTTTCTTTAACCATCTCTCACCTTCTTTTGGTTTGTCGTCAATGGAACGAAGGACATCGTTAGCTTTGCGAACTTGTTCTATAGCGCTCTTAAACATCTCTCTTCTCTGTTGTTTCAGTGTGTCGTCTCTTCTTCTTGTTTCACCAACGTTTGCATTTGTTATGTCAAACATTTCTCTTCTTACTTCATGAGGTACTGAACGTCTATGATATAAGTCAATAGCAACGTCATTTAAAGGAAATGCTCTTGCATGGACTTCGTCCTCGCCGCGTTGCGGCTTTATGAACTCATGAATTCTATCATAACTTATTGCACCATTATAGTCATTGAGGATGTCAGCGAGTGCTTTTTTGTTTGTTGCGTAATGCTTTGCAACATCTATATTAGCTTCTGTAAGAAGTTGTTTTATTTCCGAGTGTTCTAACTTAGACAACTTCCGATACATCTTTAGTAGGAAATAAAAAAATATTTTTTGAAAAAATTAGATTAGATTTTTTTAAGTTATTTTTCAAAATAATTTAATATTTTTATTTTAATGAAACACATGCAAGATTGCAAGTTCTTTTCATACAATGCTCTCGCTACTGCCATCAAGAATGAGTTCAATAATGCTTCAAATGTTAATGTTATCTTTAACAAGAAGTTTGTGAAAGAATCTAAGTTTGGTCAGTATGTCAGACCATTAGCTATCGTCATTGACCGCAAACGTTATACTTCACAAGAGTTAGCAGTAGTTTTGAAACAAAAGAGTTTCTTCGTGAATGTCAAAGATACTCATTATACTGTCATAAAGAACTCTAACGTTGACTTCTTCAGTATTGCTTTAAATCTTTCCGAACAGAAAGAATATAAGAAGGGTGAAACATCTGTGAAATATTATCCTTCATCTCTGAAGACAATAACGAACAAAGATGTTATACAGAAATTCTTACCAAAGGTTGAAGAAGCTTCTATTGACATTGACGAAGGAAGTGAAATGGTTGAAGAAATAGACCCTGAAGCTATTTAAGCAAAAATATATTTTTGGTTAGTCTTCATATGGATATTTTACAACAATTCCCCAATGTATAAACTTTTCATACGCTTTTTCATAAGCTTTATATACCTTCAGAAATTTTGCATAATCTTTAGAAGCATTTAGATATTGTTTAAATGCTTTGTATGTCTTCAGAAATTTTGCATAATCTTTTACATGTTGTTCGTTCTCTTCTTCTGTCATGAGTTCCGAATATTCTAAATTCATGTTCTTTCATATGAGATAAAATTTTATAAAAAAAAATAAAATTAGCTTAGATTTTTTTATTCTTCCTCTTTGAAGTTATTGAAATATTCTGTTATTTTTTCCTTCAGTAATGTTAAGTCTTCCTTGAATGTAAGTATTGTGCAACCTTTGATGTCATAGTGTGTTTGAGGAAGAGTATTTTTGACAATTTCCTTTATTTGTTCATTCGGTGTCATTGAAATCGGTAAGTTTTCACGATAGAACCAGTTTCTGTCAGATTTATATATCTTAGCTAAGTCATAAAAGCTCTTGTTGTTTCTTCTGACTAAATGTAACATAACCATATCTTTATCTTCTTCTTTCTCTAACTCTTCAGTATATATATCATATACTTATAACTCTTTTCCTTTCCTTTTGGTACTGAACGCGGTATTCTTTTCTGTATGCTTTTGTCTTTGGATTCAATGACTTCATCTTTTGCTTGAAGTTTCTTTTCCATCTCTCCACGTTCTTCTTTATATAGTTCATCTAACATCATGAAAATATAACAAGCATAACGAGGTGAAGTCCACATTGCTACAGCGTTTACTAAAAGTCTATGAACATAATAACCTTTCAAACCAGGAGCCAAATTCTTGCGATTTTCGTACGGAATCTCTTCTCTCGGTTTTCCGAGGGAAGCAATCATATGAGGAAATTCTTCTAAAAGTTCTTTTGTCTGTTGGTTTTCAAACCAATGATATGCTTGCTTTGTAGAACGAAGAGCGTTCATTATACTTTGCATCTGGTACATATCGTCTTTGACCGAACGAATGAGTCTCAATTGTTTTGTTATACTGTATGTATTCGTATTCTTCATTATGGCTTCATGAACGATAGCAATTGTTGTGTTTCTCTAATGTTGACATTACTGTCTTTACATACAAAATAAAAAAAATTGTTAGAAAAAAATTAGCGTTATTTTCTGACTTTCACAAAAGACCAAAATAAACGCTTTACATGTATTTTTCAGCAACTTCGTCAAATAATTTTATAGCTTTATCTATCTCATCTACTTCAAACGTTTCTTTACCTTTCGTGGGAGCACCATACATTTTCTCAAAAACTTCAAGCAGTTCTGTTTCAGCAGCTCTCATATCATTAACAAACACAACCTTGACTCTATTGACTGTACTGTCATATCTTTGAGTTATATTATATGTCCTTCCTATCTTATATCTTTTGTGTTGAAGTCCTTCGGTTTCTGAACGATATAAAGTAAGCCTTCACTGCAACGTTCTGAGTCGAATGAACCATATGTTATGAAGTTATATCCAACAACTGGGTCTAACCATAAAAAACTATTGGTATAAGACTTTTGTCTATAAGATATGCTGTGTTCCATGAATGCTACTGATATCATAAGCTCAGGATTTCTTGTCAAAATTTTCTGAGTTGAAGCATTTCTAACCCAGTCGTTTGTTTTCTTTTCAGATGGAGATATAATGTCTGACAAAGAATATTTGTTGTATTTCTTTGAGTATCTTACGTTTAAATCACCTATTCTAACCACTTTGGTGTCATTGTCTATCTTTCTAACTGTTTCAAACTCAATGTTTGTCATTACTGTCTTTACATACAAAATAAAAATTTTTCTTAGAAAAAAATTAGCGTTATTTTTCTAACTAATGAAATTCATTATTTTTGTGCTGAATTCAATAAAAATAATGTTTAGGTGAAGAGGTGAGATTTCACCTCTTTTTTCACCTGTTTTTTCTCCTCTTTTTTCACAAGCGTTTTACATGAATTGTACGATGTATATTTGAAATCCTAAACAATTTCGTAGCTTCTATTTCTTCTTTTAGTACATTGAATGTTTTAATCATGCCGAAAGTCTCTTTATATTTCTTCTTGACGTCAGACAGAAGGAAATCTTCTGCTGTTGGATAGTTTTTATTAAGAAATGTCAACATATCCATTTTATCTTCTGCTGGCTTTTCTGCTTCTTTCTTTAAGTCTGCATAGTCGTTTCGCATTCTTTCTATCTCTTTGACTGAGTAGTTATATTTTCTTATTGCTGCTTTACATTTTGAACATTGCGGCATCGTTTTTGCGTTATACATTGAAACATTACCAGCTAAAACAACTAAAGCGTCAATTGCTCTTCATCTCAAACATAGCGGGTCTTATTTGTTCGTTCCATACTTTGCCTCTTCTATCTTTATCTCTTATTTCCCAAACACATTTTGCAACTAATGAAACAAGTTATCGTATGTCTTAAATTCTTCGGATTTGTAAAGGTCAGAAATTTTTTATAAACCATGTCGCAATCTTTGTCCATAACTTTATGGTTGCAATGAAAACCAAGGAATTCATAATTTACTTTACGTATGAATTTCTTAATTTCTACTGAGTCAGTTGCTTTGACTTCAATTTCGTCGAATTCAGGAATAGTTAGTTTTTGCTGCTGAATTTCAGGTAGTTTAGGCAAATGGTCGATGAGGTCCTCCATTTCATAAAGATACTGTTCATTTGTTTCATCTTTCGCACTACAGTCTAAATTACTTGTTAAAAGTTCTTGCTTTATCTTCTGGATTTCTGTTTCAAAAGTATATGAAGAAGGAATAAAGCTTTTCATCTCTATCAACATTGACGTAGGATTCATGACTAACGAGTTTGGTGCTGTAGTTGTGGACAGAGTCCCGCCGTTCGCAGCTTGAATTGTTGTTGTACCGATTGTTGAAATCATATCTTTTATACAAAATAAAAAAATAAATAAAAATAAAACTAACTTTATTTTTTCTATCTTAAGGAAATTCATGAAAATTCACGAGGGTGAAAAAACAGGTGAAAAAAGAGGTGAGATTTCACCTCTTCACCTAAACATTATTTTTGTCTGATTTACATCTAATGAAAAAGTTTGAAAGAATTTTCTTATTCTTTCTGGCATATTTTTGTCTTTCCAGTACTCCCGCTCTAATGGTCCCAGATGTGTTGGCTTCGACTCTCTCAAGTTCTTAGATGGTATAACATCTTCAACGCCTCCTTCATATCTTACTTTATAAGTGTCATCGTTTATGTTATAGCCAAGTATTTCAATAACCACTCCTCGCTTTGCTTCGTCAATGGTTTCAGCAAGTTTGCCATTACTACTTTCAACTAATTTATGACGAGGATAAAACGCAATAGAGTCGTCGGCAGCTTTTATAAGATATCCATTACCTTGCGTAGAGTCTACGATATAATAGTTTCTACTTAACCTTAAACGTTTCTTTGTCAACGGTTTGTCGTCAAGAACTACACGAACTTTTGTACCAGGAATGAGGGTAAATTGTGTTGAATTTCTGATATTTTGTGTTTGACTTCGTTTCTTTTGTATATACTTTTCTTCTTGTTGTTGTGTCATTGAATTTGGTGTATGTCCTGTTGTAGAATGTGTTGAGGAATTATATACTTCGAGAAAATGTTTCATTGTTTCTTCGGTAAAGTCTCGCTCTTGGTTTAAATCTCTGAGCGTTCTTATGAAGCGGTTTATGATGCCGAGTATGTTATGGTTATGGTCTTCAGTAGTGTAGTGAGTTATGTTATGCTTAATGAGAAAATCTGTGATTTCATTGCTGAGGTATGCACTGTCTTGGTCTGATGTTAAAGTACTTGGGCTATGTTCTGCTACAAACTTTTGTAAAACTCTTAACACTTCACGAGTTCCTTTATTTTTCATTGGATATGCATATGCTTTGCGAGTGTTAACATTAATGAAGATGAGGAATGGTGGCTTTCTTCCTTTCTTACTCTGAACGAGAGTGTCAAATTGGTATGTGTCAGGAGTGTTGGAGTAAATTGGTAAAAAGTAGTCGTAAGGGTTTATTTTTGTTTGATGTACAACATTTTTGTCAAAGAACCTTTTCACTTCAGCTCTGTTAGTAAATCCCCAACTCTTTGCAGCTTCATTGAACTTCTTAAATGACCTCCATGGATGTTGTTCGAATACTTCTTTCAAGCTCATTTATGTAAAGTTAAAGATTTTATTCAAGACGGTAAGCCTTGACCCAAAGGGTCTAGGCTCAAGCGCGTTCATTGAACGCGGTACCATGCGAATACAGTCACAAATGGTGGCATATAATCTGCACCCGAGCCTGTTGGATTTGTTGTGAAAGTATGGACATGATTTCCTCCTGGTTCAGTTGGTCGAAAAGTCTTTTTTGCTGAATTGTTATAAGATGGAGATAAAACGTCATGACCAG